GAGCCAGACGGGGATGAGTGTTTCTGGTCATGCCAACAAAATTCCGATAGGCTACCACTTCTCTAAGATCATGGTTGCTGTTGAGACATAAACTGTTGGTAATCCAACCAAAGCTCGAAGGAAGGCACCACTTGGTCCCTCACTCTAAACCCGGCTTGCCCAGACAATTTGTCTAAATTTCTTTCCACTTCCGCCTAATAGTACTAGTCCCTAGATAATTCCTATATAATCCTACTCTATAGCTACAAAGCAGTACCGGGACAGGTGTTATCTGGCCCAGAAACTTTCTGTTGGGTAAATGCGGCAATTTCGAACATATTTACGAGCTCGTTGAACGTATTAGGGACTCAGTACGCAGTGCTTTAAAGGTCCACTTCCAGATCCCTCTGGTGTGAAGATTTTCAGTCTACGGGGCCTGTAGCTGGCTGATGACGGGCAGTAAACCAGAAATGTCTGATAAAAGTTCTCTCTTCCTGTACGGTCCTCTCACTCGGACAGGCTGCTTGTCGTTATAACGTCAGTATCAATCAAGTGAGCGCTTGACAGAGAGAATACCGTCGCATCCCCATACCCCATCTGCGGATGACTATGACTTTGTTATCATCACCTATGATTAAGGATTCCCGAAAGAATCCGAAACGTCAGGCAAATAAGACTCTTGTTCCAGTGATCGCATCTTCTTCTTCTGAGAATACCGTCGGTTGGATCTTAACTGTAACTATACAATCACCTTCTATCTGCTCCTTTTTTCTATGGCGTTATTTTTAAATCTTTTAAGCTGTCTTCAGGAGACACCTTGACTTCCTTCTGTAAAAAAATCCTTGCTACGGATGACTTAGACAAGATATCAGAGCCGAAACCGCCCGCAATAAAAGTGTATTTGCATCAAATTCTAGCGCAGATGGGCTCATGTTTATAGTTAGTGTTAAGGTTAGTCTTATGGTTAACGTTAGGGAAGTTTAAGGTACAGGTTTAGGGTTAGTGTTAATTGTAGGGCATATGTTTAGACTATGGTTAGGGTTACGAATGCGGTTTAGTGTTATGCTTAACGTTAGGATTGAGAAACGGTAGTATTAACCCGCTTTCGAATTATGCTATGACCATCTTTATTATTTGGTTGGGACGTTCTTATTCGCATGTTCTGTTTAAGGGACCATATACCAGACACTTCTTAATTCCTCGAAGCTGGAAGCATGCATATATTCCGAGCTATTTTCTAGAGTGACTTGAACTGATCATACTGAAACTCTCTCCTCTCTAGTAAGTGTTCCCATATGAGGGAGGAAGGTTGCTCGTTTTTGCGTCAGCCGACTGGGGCGTCCTTTCTGCTAACTATGGACCACAGCGGTGAGGAGTACTGACATCGGTCTTGCAAAATCTGTCCCCCCCCCACGGGACTCTGATCTAGGATGGGATGGCGGGGGGGGGCTGGTGGAGGTTGATGGTAACGCGATTGCTCATCAGGGATGAGTGGGCATAATTCTGCTCCACCCCATATTCTAGAATTCCGAGCCCAGCACACCTGCTCATTCATTATTTATACGCATAATAAGTGCACGTGCCTCAAAGGACACCTGTGTGTCACTTCCTCCTCCTACTAGATCTGCCTCGTCTGATTAACGCTCGAATGAGCACCCCATTTCGTTATTTGTCATTTGCTGTCCCCCGTTAGCCTCACAGAGCACCGACGCGTTTTTGTAGCGCTATAAAGTCTTCATCGATGTTAGGGGGAATTTTAATTACATACGTGTCGAGCTATAAGCATAAATGCTTCTGCTCAACCAAAGGCCTGTCGGGAGGACATCAGTTAAATTAGGCAGAAGACTCTGATGTTCCTTTGAAAGCCTTTCACTAATTCTGCAGGAAATCTGAGATTTTGGAAAATTAGGGCAGTTTGGTTGAGTCCTAAAGGCTTCAGTTGTCTCTGCACCTCGGCCCAAAGAGCATTAGTTGGGGCTGAGGGAAGATGCATCCCAGACAGAAAATTGCTGGTAGGCTTCGAGCAGTAAATGCCGGTGTTAACTTTGAGTAAACTCGACACTTCTTTTAGACGGTGAGAAACTGTAAATTGACAGGCTGTCCCAGTAGGCCAGTGAGTGTAATGATGTCAATGTGTAAGGAAGAGATCACCGTCCAGGTAAAACTGCAGTAGGAAAAAAGGCTCTTTAGCACATCTCCGAATTGAGTTACAAACAAATATTTGAGTTACTACGTTACTCATGGGAATATTTTTACGAGCACTCCAATTTAACGTTACTGGCGCCGTCGAGATAGCCACCAAGTTACGACTACCGCACATCGAAATGTTCGACTTGAAGTCTTCTGTCATTTAGCGCTTTCTTTCTGATCCCCCATAATGTCTTTTTGAGTTTTCTCGAAGAAATTAACTCTAATACCAGTGATCTGCTCTGATTCTTTTTGTACCTTCTCAACTAATTATCATAATTCTACCATATAATTAAAGAACAGGAGTTCGAAAAATCACACATTTTCAAAACCCCGAGGGTGATCTACGTTCGCTTTTAAGGTTATTCATTGTCGCTAACAAAAATTCCTAATTTGAAGTAGAACCATAAACGACAATAACAGGAGGAAAAAGCAGGCTTTTCAATGCGAGAAAACAGGCCACTAAGTGTGGGATGCGCTGAATGGACTTCATGAGCTCGACCACCGATTCCAATTTCACTGGCACAGCGACTCTTCGTCTTCTTCCGCTCGACCATCAAAACATTGTTTAACAAGGTAAAAAGCGAGTAAAATTTCTGGGGAGACAATTCTGAAAACTTCTTGCACGCAAACAGTGAATTTCCGGTTATTCATCTAAGGGAGCCCTTAAATGTGACTTATAGATAGACTGTAATCATTATCTTTACTGTCTCACGAATTGAGATGTGGGCAGCACAGAATCACTTTCGCTTGTAGCGAGGGAGCGAGATCGCATGTATTAGACGTAAATATTGGGCTTCGGTTTCATGGGCTCTTTCGCTCACATCGCGCTTTTTATAGTCGCCTATAACGCCGAATTTGTGGTGGCGCTTGCGTTTTTTTAACAGGACCATCAGTTCTCTCTGAGAGTTTATCCAACGTGAACAGCGCAATGGCTGCGCTCAAAGAGTGCTGAAATAGATGGTCCTGCTTCAGGAGTAGTTTCTCCTTAGCTTAGCCAAAACCGCTAATTTAGATTAGGCGAAAACGGAAGCAGTGAAGGTATTACCGATTTTTTTTCCAAAAGTATCCTTGTTTCGTGTGCATTTTACTTCTCTGTTAGGTATAGTGCAGTGAAGCCTATTTGAAGTGAAGTTTACTGATACTTAATATATTTCGCGTCCTATCGTGTAGTAATATGGCAAAAAATCTTCCCTAGCTTTGCTAAGACGTCGATTTAGCGAGTGCCTTATCTGAATCATTCCGAAAAGCTTTGTAATACCACCTATTCTATGGACAGGAGCCCTGACCGGCGCCCGGAGAAACCGTTAGTTTACGGATGATAGAAAACAAGAAGGATAAATCTATATTACACAGACGTATGCATTTCTTGACTCTGAGACCATGAGTTCGACCACGAATGCTAGGCTATATACAGGTATGTTTAGTGGTCAGTTGTGGACCTCAGAGGAAAAATCCTCAAGAACCGCAGGATTCGGAATACTGAGGCAATGCAACAAGCGCAAAAGACTGCCACACAGATCGAAATGTCCTAATGTGAGCTGCCTGTGCTGGACGCTAGGAAATCGAACAAGTTGCGACTTTTTATATTCACTTAAAATTGTAGGTGTTTGACTCTGTTCTCTACTTAATTCGATATAAATTTGTAGACGATGTCCGTCCCCTCACTTTAAGTTAGCTTCTCCCATTACTCTGGTAGTCGAGATTGGTCAAGAAGACCCATCGTTCCCGTACGCTGAGAACTAAGATAGAATGCCACTAAATAAACGCTTGTCCTGTACAGGGTCATACTCCTCAGAACTATTGTGATGCAATCTAGGAAATCCATAGCGATTAGAGTTCTTCAGAATAACCCGAGTGCTTTTGAGTTACCTAGAAGGATAAAGACCAACCGCAGTATACGAAATATTCATGGCTCACAAGTAATCCACTTTTTCAATTGGACACCAAACGACCTCTATCCAGGTAGTCAACTTAGTTACTTTGACAGCCAATATTTTAGAACAGAATATAAGTCTCTGTTTCTTTCTGATAGTATCTCTATTTTTATAAGCGATTTATATTAATTTCATGCACACATTTGTTTCGACTCGTCAGCTAAGTCATCTGTCTACATCATAAATATGCCATTAAGCTCAAATAGTTTTCCAGACAAGGCTTTGCACCCCAGGGTCAGATGATTTTGATGCCTATAGGGAGGGATATTAATTTTGGGTG